GTCCATGTAGACTTCAAGAAAGATGTACATGCAGCTTGATTAATTGCCATGCTCTTAGTAATTACAACGTATGATAAGAGTTTAATGTAAATATGTGTTCTGTTTCAGGTACACACATTGAGATGAGCTTGTCCAAGGATCAAAGTCTAACTATAATGGTGACTGGAAAGACAGATGCTGTGATGCAGGCAAGGAGAGAACTTCTTTCCAAACTGCAAACACAAGCTAACGTGACTCTGAGCATCCCAAAGGAACATCATCGTTTTATTCTCGGCAAACATGGTGCAAAACTGAAAGATCTTGAGCTAAATACTGCTACTAAGATTTCTATACCTCGCACTGAAGACAATTCTGATGTACTGAGAATCACTGGTACTAGGGATGGTATTGACAAAGCTAAACACGAAATACAACTCATTTCTGAGGAACAGGTATAAACAAAACTTTGTTTCATTTTTCTTCAGCAGTCCTCTAGAACCAGATTTGTTAAGAAGTAGGTGCAAGACTGCAAATGTGTTTTTGTGGAAATAATGTCAACAAAACTGTTTGTAGCTTTGGTATGAGAGAATATTAATTTTGACAGTTGGACAAATTTCTTTAACCATTTCACCACCAGACTTTCTAGCCCACATTTTTCTGCATCTTTTTCTTGTATTCTTCAGTATTTCTGGCAATTAACTGTAAGTTTGGAGCCAACAGACAAAAATTGGGTCAATTTCAGTTTTTACTCAAAAATTTGGCTAATTTTGTCCCAATCTTCTGAGGGAATGTGCAGACTATACACAAGACCATTCTGTGAATTTGTAATGAAAAAAAGGAGGGGAGGGGACTGTTGGTGACAATATTAATGCCCCATTGTCCTTGTGCTTTACTATGTTCTATATTTAATGTGTGTACAATGCCATGTTTACATAAATTGAATGCTGTTCAGCTGTGGTACTATAAGGTGTACATTTATATCCTAAGACATATTGTTTTTATTTTCAGTCAAAGCTAGCATTTGAACGTCTTCGCATTGAGAAACCATACCATCCATTTATAACCGGCCCAAACAATAAAAACGTCCAAGAACTAAGTGAATTAACTGGAGCCAGGATTAATGTTCCTCCTCCCAGTGTTATGAAAGATGAAATTGTGGTGTCTGGTGAAAAGGAAGGTGTCATGGCAGCGATACACACCATTATGACTATATACGAGGAAAAGGTATGTTCATTTAATCGCTGATTCATTGCACCTTGCATAGTACATCTATTCATTGCATTATATGGGTGTATGCTTACTGTACTCTAACTTAACAGTAGATGCTGAATAATCAGTGGTTAAATCAATATTTTTGGTACTAACGAAATTATATTAGAAGCTGCACCATTCTTTTTGAAAAATTAAAAACCAAAATAAGACATTCTTCTGTCTAGGTGTTCCATAGAAACTGCATCCCACTCTGTTGCATAGTACCATTTAAATAATGGTGCAGTGTATAGACAATGACTGTGCCACCATACACAATTGGCAGTAGCACTAGGCACTCGGTTTACAAACTC